ATTTACTCGATAGCTCTAATTAAAAAAAAATATATAAATTTAATTTATAGACCTTTACTCGTATTACTATATAACTTTATTAATTTAAGCTTAATTATAAAAAATTAAAAAAATTATAATAATTATATTTTATATTCTTTTAACTTTTTTTTATAGTTTTAAATTATATTGTTGTGAAGTAGTAAATTATAAGAATTAGATTTTAAAGATTGCAAATTCTAGTAGATTGCAAATCCTAGTAGATTGCAAATCTTAGTAGATTGCAAATCCTAGTGAATACGAGTAGATGCCTAATAGAAATCCAAGTCTTACACACTCTTAATCAACAACGGAACCCAAGTTGGAGAAACCGACCGACCCTCGGGAATTTTATCATCAGTGGTGTCGTCCAAGGTGGTCTCTTTTTCGTCCTTCTGGTGTGAGCAAGGGGCCCCACGCCTAGTGTGGAGACAACAAACAGAGGCTCAAGATGGGAGGTTCTGTGTCACGGATTCTCTCACTACTATGGTCAAAAAAAGAGATTAGGATTTTGATCTTGGGACTTGTATGGCCCACGATCTCTATTCCCGCGCTGTCTGACTTACGTCTCACAGGACAATGCTGGGAAGACAACGCTTCTGTATAGATTAAAGGTGCAGTGTTTCCGCCTTGGGAGCTGTAAATGGGACCAATCGTAATCCGTCCTCCCAGATCGGCGAAGTTGTTACGACTATACCTACCATTGGCTTCAACGTGGAGTCAGTAGTCTATAAAAATCTCAACTTTAACGTCTGGGTAAACTCGCCACACTTCTGCACACCAGTGTTTGGCTACATGCTGAATCAGCCCATTAGGATTTGGGTGGCCAAACATCAATACGACCGTACTGGCGCTGTTACTACGCAAACACCGCGGCTGTTGTCTTCGTGATCGATTCCACAGACATTGAGAGATTGAATACCGCGGCGGAAGAGCTCGCAGCAATGCTTAATGAAGACGAGCTACGCGATGCCGGACTACTCGTATTTGCAAATAAACAAGATCAGCCTGGAGCAAAAGGGGCCGGAGAGATTTCAGAAGCTTTGCGATTAGGTGAGCTGCGCGATAGAAATTGGAGCATAGTGGCGTGTTCAGCGATTGATGGAAGCGGAATTGCGGAAGGCATGGATTGGATGGTGGTAAGCACTCCACTCCACCAAACATTGAAGAGCAGTAGTTTGCTAATTCTGATTGTTAGCAAACCGTCAATTCAGAATCATAACATATCACACGTAGCGACAGTGCATTCAGATACCCAATGTTACACTTTGGCACGTCGATCGCCCTGAGATTTGAGGACGCAAGCATCTAGCGCAACACGACTGGGGCAACATCAAGCCCGACAAATGAATCCGAAATGCTCATAGAAGGGGAAATGCCAAATGCCAAGGGCACATGAATATTGAATGGGTTTCGAATATTGACATCGAGCCCAAAAGATGAGTTATTTTGGGTATTGAAGTGAAGGATCTATTCTACACGAAACGCGCAGTTGTCGCGATCGGCTCTCTGAGACCGCAAACAGTTTCGAGATCAGAGGTTCAAGAGTGATTGTGTGAGAAGCACTTCGAATCACAAACCGAATGGCAGTATACCACAAATGTCCAAACAATGGTATTAGTGTTCGGCTGACTTCTTGCGGCCCGAAGACACCGCGCTCATACACTCTCAAATAATAGCCGGTATCTTCGGTCGACTACTCCATCAGCGACGTCTGGAAAAACGGCTAAAAGATGTCTGCCTTGCAACTCAACCAGGCACATTGCAGACTTCGTTTGACACGAAGCACGACGATCGTTTGGCCCATTTGCAGTGCTCGGAAGGTGTCTCAAGATCGAAGAGATCTACTATTGAAATCTCCAGCCAGAAAATAGAAACTTATGGAGGTGCTACTCTCTTTGGGTCACTGCGTCTGCTGATTTCCAGCCAAACAAGGTTCGAAATTAGTATTAATATTAGGGCACGAACATCGTTTCAATCTCAAGACAAGTCTGAGTAGGTTTTGCAACTCAACCTGGCTCGAAATTACACGAGTAAAAACCTACAGCGGAGTAACATAGCCTAACTTCTTTAATACATAAGTATGGGAAACTTCGTGGGGCAGACCGAGCCTTTTGCTCGCGAAACATCTCTTGATTCAACAGTAGTAACTTTTGAGTAAGATTGGTCCCAAAATGCAAACTTGCTCCAGCACTCCCTCGCTCTGGTCCACACCTGATAGGGTTGGGAGCACACGTAAATTCGTGCTTGTTCTTTTGATACCTTGTTGAAAGCGGCGATGAATCCAGTCCGGAGCAGCAGGATGTCTCCAAACTTGAGCTCCGTCCTTTAGGCTTTAGCAACGGCCTTGAGCACGGTGCTAGACGAGGTGACAGTCGAAGCGGTGCAGATTCCTAAAATATCGACCAGAACTCCTCCAAAGAGTGTGCTGTTTCAGAAACATATTATCTTCCAGGTCGATGCCCAAGTTGAGGTGAAATGAGGAAAGGAAGCTTTCCGCTTCTCAGATTAACATTCTATCTGGCAGCTTGCCCAGCCTCTGTACGCCTGAATGACCGAGTCTACCTTACCTCGCGGGTGACAAAAAAAACGGAACGCCAAGCTAGACTACTGCGCGGAGACACACATATAAATTACTATGTATCTCTCTGTTCTAGTATCCTGTCATTGCTCCTTTACCGTCTATGACTGCTTATAATCTATTTAACATACTATCCACTTTCTCGTTAATAAAGATCTGGAAATATTAGTCCACCTCTCGTCAATTAGTGCCTTAGTCGTACTGTTGTCAGTGGCTTGGCGTTCCGTTTTTTTTGTCACCCGCAGAGCCTACTTGTATTCTCGGAATTTGCAGGGATGCTGCCTCAGAATCTCCGCGGTCTACGAGTAGTGCATGAAGCCGCCGCTTGCAGGGATACGCGAACTTTTATAAATCTTTCTGACATCTACAACATTTTCAAACACTTAATCTACCACAATTCCCCTTTTCCATACTACCACAGCAATGAAGAAAGCTCCAGATACGAAACAAGAGCCCGCCAAGACTACCAAGTCCAGGGGTTCAGTGCCCACGAAAGCTCCCGTCAAAGCTCCCGTCAAAGCTCCCGTCAAAGCTCCCTCTAATCCGAGGAAGCGCAAGAACGATGAGAATGAAAAAACACCTCCGCCACCTGTGAAAAAGGTTCGGGTTGTAAAGCAACCTGCTACAAAGCCAAAGTCAAAAGTTGCGATCAATCAACGCCCCAGTCAACATCTAGACGTTTACGTCTTTGGCGAGGGCTCGTCGTCTGAGCTGGGACTGGGAACTGCCAAAACTGCTATAGATGTCAAACGGCCTCGCCTCAACCCTTTACTTTCGGTTAATCAAGTTGGTATTGTCCATGTAGCTTGCGGAGGGATGCATGTGGCAGCCCTGACTCATGACAACAAGATTTTGACATGGGGGGTCAACGACCAGGGAGCGCTGGGACGTGATACTACGTGGGAGGGTGGTTTGAAGGACATGGATGACAATGATAGCGACGATAGTGACAAGAGTGACAGCGGGTTGAACCCAGCTGAGAGTAGCCCGACCGCCGTTCCAGCCTCGAGCTTTCCAGGAGACACGCAATTTGTCAAGCTGGCTGCTGGTGACAGCCACACACTTGCTCTCACCGATGATGGTCATGTCTATGGATGGGGAACCTTCAGGGTAAGCACTTTCCTCCAACACCTCGACGTATCTTTATAGTAGGACTAACGATCACATATAACAGAAAAATGACGGCGTCCTCGGTTTCTTCCCTAACACGGATGTTGAAATTCAACACACACCAATTCTCTACCCCGACCTCAAGAACATTGTCGACATCAGCAGCGGTGCCAACCATGCAATGGCTATGGACAGCAAAGGTGCGGTCTTTATTTGGGGTTCTGGCGAGCAAAATCAGCTTGGATACCATATCATCGAGCGTACTGGTACTAAAGGTGTCAAAACTACCCTCAAGCCTCAGCCTCTTCGCACGAGAATCAAAAAATACAAGGCTATCTACACCGGCTCAGACCACTCGTTTGCCATTGATAAGGACGATCATGTCTGGTCTTGGGGCGTAAACAGCTTTGGTGGCACTGGTATTCGCAAGGGCGCTGGTGATGACAATGCAGTGGTCTATAATCCAACCATGGTGGAGACTCTGGACCTAGACGATGACACCATAACCCATATGGAGGGCGGCCAACACCATTCAATCGCAATCACACAGAAAGGCAAGGCACTGATTTGGGGTCGCATTGACGGATATCAGACCGGTCTCGACATGGCAACTGTCCCACTCACGTCCACCATTCAGGACAGCAACGGCAGGCCACGGATCGTAATCGTGCCTACAGCTATTCCTAATGTCGGCAAGGCCACCTATGCCTCAGCTGGCACGGATCATACGATTCTCCTGAATGACTTGGGCCATGCATACGCTTGGGGTCTAAGTGCTACATATCAGACTGGGCTTGGTACTACGGACGATGTCCAGTATCCTACACGCATCGACAATACTGCAATCCGGGGGAAGATGCTGAATTTTTCAGACTGTGGGGGGCAATATTCGATTTTAACTTCAGCTGCTGCGTGACCATCAGAGGCACACATTTCTTCGTTTCAAGGAGTTGAAAGGCATGATACCTATAGAAAAGGGAGAGGAGTCTTGACCTAGTTTAAGTCGTTTCGGTCTTGGCGTATCGACATCTAGAGTGCACTCACTTTGTGTCTAAACATGTCCTAAAAGCGCCAAACCTCACACCATCTCTCTCTTGCATAGCGGTGTTGAGACTAAGACCTGCAGTCGTTTGGCGGTTGCACGGCCAGATTCGTTTCCTAGCATTGATCTTACGATAGAGCAAAAAGCAAGCGTCTGACGGCGTGAGAATTCTATCATCATGCCCTTTATCCTTTAAACAAGATACAAAGACTTGATCAACCTCATAGAAGCGTCAGAAAAATCTATCCTTCACCTGTATCCGAGCCTCTTCGTAGGCGATTGCCCTTCCAGCCCATACCCTCCCTTGTCCGTGCCCTGCATGCCTATGTGATTTTGGTAAGGTATGTAAAAACGTTCGTTCCCGGGCGGAAAGCCGATCTGCTGTTGGGGTGAATGATGCATGTAAGCTGGATGCTGAGGCGGCGGAGGATGATGGGTTTTAGCCCTCCACAGCCCGAACGTCAGGTTATTGACTGTGAAGCAGCCTACTATGACGGAGACGCTAACGATCTACATGAAGTGGTTAGACATGTCAAGACTGCAAAGGGGAGAGTTGAAGAGAAGGAACGTACTATTGCCTTCAGTGATATTGGCTCAATGAAGCTGTTGACAATCTCCGCGAACATGCCAGCACTGAGCCTTGATCTTCCCACTTTGTACGGATCCCGTTGCATACACTTCTCCCAACTATTACACACCGTCTCCATGGCTGGCACCCTACTGTCCCTTTCACATTTGTTTTCCTGAAATTCTCGTGCACAAACGGCCATCTCTGCAAGTATTTCTGACGATTCCATCATGGCCCTTTCAGTAATATCGTTGCTTATTGTTGAGAAGATTCCGTAGAGCACGTACATGACGCAGAACGCGAGGAAGAAGTTTAGCAGGAATTGGACGTAGTAGGAGAGCGTATTGGGTAGGCCCGGGTGTGCATCAATGAAGGTAAGAACCGAGGGTATGAATCCCATTTGCTGTGCGGTCTTAAGATTCTGTTGGGTTCCTTCACCACTGCCTGGTGGCTCTTCGAAGTCTGAATCGTTGTTTGAGCGTCGTGACGCTGAGCGGACGTCTGGGCCACCATCTCGTCTGCGACGCTTTTGAACTTTGCCCTTGCTGCGAGTCACAGCAAGATGGGATCTACGACCCACCTCGCCACGCCCCAGACTCGAGAACTTGCTCAAAAGACCTGGTGATGACGGTTTCTTTTTGGATTCCTTGCCCTCGAATTGCATCATGGCGCCCTTAGTCATGGACAACACCCTTCGAGCTGATGGTTCTGGGGTATCGTCGGTATCCACATTCACAGGAGACGACATTTCAGCGCCGGAGGAAAAGTCTGTCTCTATTGATTTCTGCGGGGTGGTGAAGGGAAAGTTGCGAAAAGAGAAGGGAGGCTTCGTCGAGGGCGTTGATGGAGGAAGGAAGATCTGTGACCCGGATGGGCCAATGGACGGTACAGGAGTCTTCGAGGGGGAATCGAGGAAACTCGCTGAACCTGAATGTACTGCGCGTCAACTTATTTTCACTTTGCTGCACCTAGGATGTTATACACTTACGCTTTTGACCCGTAAAGCCTCCTCTGTTCTGACTGCTATCTGCGGCGCCCTTTAGAAATGGTGAATCTGTATCTGTTGGGCCATGACCTTCTTGCCATTGCCAGTCCATAGGACTTTCATGCGATCGCACATCTGTGTTCAGGCGGGCCATTTTATTCGTAAGCGGACTGATGGTGAAGACTGTGGCAACTCAAAATCTGCGAGGGAAGCAAGGTAAACAAAACTATTCAACTAGCGTTGTTGTGAGCGCCGGGTAGGTTACGTGAAGTATTACAATCGTTGTACGGTTACTCTTATCTTACCATGGTGCACCGAGAACAAAGCGTTGATTTGGATTTTATGACCTTGATTGTCTATTGACTTTATGGACAAAAGCTTATCATACTGGTAATCCAATTTCGACTAAGCAAGAATAGAAAACGAGAGCACATATCGTGACACAGGTCACAACCTTCCGTTGCTGGCTCATTCTTTCCAACACCATAACCTTCTGAGGACTCCAGGGTCTGGAAGACCGCAACACCATGAGAATCCACATGCAATTGCTTAAGGAATGTGAAAGGGACGCGACTGCGGAACTCAGCCCTTACACAAGCTCAAAGTCATCATCGTCAGCGGCATATCCCGCATGCGTATCCTCCTTCTCATTGCCAACAACCTCGTACTCCTCTTTGACCAGCTTCTCCATTGCCTTGGTCTCGAACTTCTCCACCGCCTTTGCTAGGGCAATACCAAGAATTTGGCTGCCTTTGCCAGGGCCTCGCGGTGCATCGTAAGAGTAGGTGTAGCCAGCGTCAAGCTCTGGCGCAGCTGATGCTTCTTTGACATCTTCCTCGGTCGAAGAGTCGGAGGTGCAGGTATCGTGGTCAAAGCGAGATTCGTGTTTGCGAGAGATCTTAGCGACTTGGGCAGCTTTGTTCTGCTGGAATTCAACCTCGCGTCGGACCGCCCTGCTGTAGCTAAGCAGCAACATTTTTAGAGCCATCACGTCTCCGGGCATGGATGTTTGCTTACCTTGTGGGGTATGGCTTTGCAGGGCGTCTGCTAGGGTGTCCCCGGGTTGGGAGCCCTTCTCCGAGGGCCCACTTATGCTTCTGGTCCAATTCGCGTTTGTGATCTTGCTCGAGCTTGTGCTCCTTGGCCAGATCGTTGAGACCGATGTTAGACATAAGTGCTTGATACCCGGGGCTGAGTGTAGAGCGTAAAGAGATTCGTTCAATGAGAGGCGGATTGAATATAGACTCCAACTGTGCCGCTGGAAGTTTGTTGGATGTTCACAATGAGGCAGAAGGAAAAGATGTAGGGGAGGGTGGTGAAACGGATGTATGGCGTGATATGAGGGGGGTATGAAGAAGATAGACAGGTGAGGCGGATGAATGATATATGAGTATTGTCAGTAGTGGTGACTACTTGCAGACGCGTCTGAGTCACCGGCAAACAAAGGCAGGTGCAAGGGAACAAAGCAGAAGAGAGACTTTGACTTGTGAGGGAAGAAGGACGGGTGACTCGATGAAAGCAGATAGACAGATAGACAGATAGACAGATTCAAGCTTTGAAGGCAGCTTCTCAAAGGCCCCAACAGGTTTAGGAGCTCGGGGTACCAAGCCTGGCCATCGTGACGATACGGAAGGCGGGGGGCGATAAGGCGGACGCGCACATGTTCACTCCAGCTCCATCACTGGCCCGTCAGCTTGCTCAGCCACTACCGATTCACCAGTCACAGCACCAACGCTGGCAGGAATGGAGGAATTATTGTACTACCCGATGCATCTATTTGTTTCATTGTGGGTTTGGAGCTTCTCCTACTGCCCCTTGTGCGCATGTTCTATTATTGGACCCCAACGAGAAAAGCGTTCAAGTAAATTCGGTACTACGGTGGTCGAACAGGGCTATTCTATATTCCGAATACTTTATGACATGACCTCGTACTCCTCCAAAATGACTTCGGCTATCATGTGATCAATGAGTTTGAAACAGCGTCAAAGGAAACCCTGTTTTCTCTTTCCATAATGAGTACTCGGCTTCCGAAATAACCCCCATTCCTCAATCACGATGATTAAAAGGGCTCACGTATCTGCTATAAGAATAACACACCACGCATAATGAACCTCAACGTTGTGGTAGCTTCCGTCTCAGTGTATCCCCCATTCTTCTGACCAAAGACAACTTGGAATGATCTTTTCTGGAGCTCACGAACGATGAAATGAATAACTGGAGTTTCGATTTTCGTAAATCAGCCACTGCCCTCTTCTTCTTCTGACTCACTAGCCTCAGCCCCGTCGCTCGTTAGGAACTGAGGAAACCACCCATATGCGCCCAGATCTACCGTTAGTTCTCCTAGATCGCCAGTTCCAACAGTGACTCCTTCTGCGCACACTTCAGAGTCAGCGTTGCTTTTCAAAGGCCTCACAAGACATGTCTTGGGAGTGGAAAGGGTCTTCTGCTCCGGAAATATGTCTTGCAACTCAGCATTCGGCACCGAAAAGGAGGGAATTAGGTACTCCGAAATGTACGAACCTCGCCCTAGGAACGCCGCTTGTCTCGTAGCACCGCCTGGACCTCTGTGACTCTTATCAAAATTGACGATTTAGCTCCATTGAGTTCTGACTGCCGACCTTGGTGATATGATACCTTTGGCGTTGATGACTCGTTGCCATGGAACATTAGCATCGTGGAAATGATGATTTGTGTTTGCTGAGGAAGACGGTAGATGCTTTAGACAGACGCCGACCTGTCTACAGTTCGATAAGCTCTCAATCCGTCGACGTGCTTTCCGGAGACTGCTGACCGAGGACGTTCGGCTAAATCAAAATGGCACATCAGGCGTGTTTCACAGCAGATGAATAGTGGCCGGAACGGAATTTTACTTACACCTTCCTAGCAAACGAGCAATATGACCGTAGCTTGTAACACGTCCCCTAGGGACTTGCTGGACTGCTGCGTAAACGGCATTGAACCACCACTCCGCTTCATCACTACGGGCCATTTTATTTGCCCAGCTAAGTTTGATTTGACGTGTAAAGGTGGTAGAGGAGCAAGTCTTGATTGATACTGAAACGCGCTTCGCGTTTGCCTACAAGTATATACCAGGTAATAAAAGATAGCCGCGGCTGCCAAGCTTTTCCCCAGAATTCGAGATCTTGCTCAAAATTCAATCAAGCTCCAGATTATCAAGTATGTCCCTCGCGGACTACCTTGCGAAAAACTACCTGACAGCGGACTCGAAGCCGCAGAAAAAGTCAAAGAAGCGCAAGCGGAAGGACGGTGCAGCCTCGGGTCTCATAATAGCAGACGATGATGCCTTAGGCTGGGACCGTGACAGCACGGGCAACGCTGACGACGATGCACCGCTGGAAGGTGAGAAATATTTGTCCTCCTGCCTTCAACCGATTGTCCCACTCTTTGACCCTAAGTTATCAGTGAACGCAAACAGCGCCGAATTTCGCAAAGCGAAAAAAACAACATGGCAGACCATCGGCACTCCAACACCTTCCTCCAATGAACAAGCCGCAGCCGACGCTATTCTTACATTTTCAGCTGCTGAATCTCGGGCTCGTGCTCTCGCGGATGATGATGCCCCTACTATGGAAGATTCGGCCATGAAAATGGAATCGGGCGCCCATGCGGGGCTACAGACGGCGGATCAAGTCACTGCACAGCTGAAGCGTAAGGAAGCCGAAGAACGGCGAAGGTTCCTGGAAGACGGAGACGACCATAGCGGCAAAGGGAAGGAAACCATATATAGAGATGCCAGTGGCCGCATCATCAATGTGCAGATGAAGCGGGCGGAAGCCCGTAAAAAAGCCGAAGAAGAAGCGGCCAAAGCAGCGGCGGAACTCGAAGGTCAAAAGGGAGACTTCCAGCGAGCCGAGAAGGAGAAGCGCAGAGAGCAGCTGAGTGAGGCGAAGTTTATGCCTGTAGCGAGGTACGCGGATGATGTGGAGCTGAACGAGGATTTGATGGAGAGGGAAAGATGGAACGATCCAGCAGCCGGGTTCCTTGAGAGGAAAAAGGAGGGCAAAAGTGTCAGCGGGAAACCGTTGTACAAGGGACCTGCAACGCCGAATCGATATGGGATTAGGCCGGGTCACAGATGGGACGGGGTTGATAGAGGAACAGGATTTGAAAAAGAGTATTTTGCCGCTAGGAATCGCACGGCAAATTTGAAGAATCTTGATTACGCTTGGCAAATGGATGAATGAGAATGCTGGTTTCGCAATCGGCTTGCTTGCATATGGACAATATGCATAGCGGCGAGGCGTGAGTGGGGGAACATCATATGGGTTTCGCTGCCAAGGCTGTTGGTCAAATGCATGCACACGACCCAAATCGTAGCTCAATATAGGAACTACAGTGGCATTATGAAATATGCGATTTGGGCAGGACGCCTCAGGGTGAGTATGGGCGTATGCAAGAAATGCCCAAGGATACAAATGATAAGGCAGGACGGCATTATGAACGCTAGTCAACGCTTCAGGCATCCATGAAAACCCGTTGCTTTCATTGTTGCTTCCTACTTTCTGCTGGTGCCATCTTCTCAATGAGACCCATGCCGATCGAAGATGATTCTTCCCAGCTTCGCTGCCTCAACCAGAACTGATCCTGGGGAGTAGAGCTCCTCATACTGCCTTGTCGAGCTTCTTCCTCCAGCGATGACCGCGTGATCTTTTCTCTGTCCATTGGTGGCGGCAGCTCCATTGCATCTTCCCCGAAGGATTCTTCGAAATAGCGTTTACGAACCATGAACCGTTCTGCATGCTCCTTTTGCATTCCTGGCGAGTCCATTTTGGAGATCGCTAAACGTACTGCAAGGCGAACCAAGAGATATATATGCTCGGAGAAGAAGACGGTCAGGAGAAAAGCCCATCCTTTGATGTCTGCTGGCGTGCCGTCTGGGCCTAAGCCATCATTGCTGAAGAGATATACGAGGGCGGCAGTAGAAATGCTGCCTAACCATGTAAGAAATCCCAAGCTATCCAGCCATGGTCCAATGCTGTCGACTCGGTGCGGAGTTGGGCGTTGCATCTCAACGCAGATCTTGACAGCGTCCGAGCGAAGTTCCACCCAGTTGTTGATGAGGAATGACACAGCCGTCACTGGCCATACCACCGAAAAAAGGGTCAGATAGCCAAATTGGACAACCATCTCTCTCAGATCCGTAGACACATCGTAGACATCGAGCTCGGCCTCGCCGCGGACTCTTGCAAGAAACTCGGCTTCTTCAGGCAGATCGTTCGCAGCTGCGTTTGGAGCAGCACCTCCCTTCCTGGCGGCTCTCTCGGTCTTAAGCTCTTGATACTTGTGAAAACCTCTGCGCTTGACGTAAGGGACGATGGTCTCCATCGCGAAGTTGACTATTTGCGCTGTGACAGCGAAGTAGATAACCTGCTTCCGGAGCCTTGCTGGATTGATGGCAAACCCCGCTTTTGGAGTCGCAAGCTGCTTCTCATTTTCCGCAAAGGGACGCGCAGTCAGCTGGAAGATATCCAGATAAGGCACGATTAAGCTGCCAAACGGCACGTAGACGAACGCTGTTAGGAAGACTGGAAGGTATGAAGTGATGAAGTTGAGAATGAAGATTTTCTGGGTCATGGCAGAATCATAAGCGTCGGTGGTTTCCCAGTTTTCGTAGTTGTTAAGTCGCGTCGCAATCTCGGTCAGTATCGTTGTGATTGTAGGGACCAAAGCTGTGAGAAGTAGCGTAGGGAGGAAGACCTACATGGGAATCAGTGTCTTGAACAACATCGCTGAGGACCACTGGCTTTACCAGAATACTCTTGAATGGTCCATTGTAGACCTCGGATAGGAAGATCTCAATGCCAAAACAGGTGGCTATAATTAGTCCAAGTGCCAAAGATGCCAGGACAGCAAACGGTAGCTGGAGAAGCTGTCTATACAACCTCTTCGTTGCTGGGAAGACCTGTACAGCCTCACCAGTGATCGGATCTTGGATTTCCTTTTCGTGCTGAAACTCTCTTCGCTTCTCCTGAATGGCTGAAACACCTTTCACGCCCCAGCGGATACCGAGATCTACCTCTTGCCGTTTCCAGTATTCGATAAAAACCACGCTCCACAGACAGTTGACAACTGCGTAGATGGACGAGAAATGGCCTAACAAGACCCACGACGAGAAACCGAAGGCCGCAGGGAAAATTAAAAAGGCAAAGTAGGATTGTGTGAAGGCGAAGTAGTATGCGACTTTCTCGCCGAATCGATTTCTGATCTCGTCCAAGTCCTCCACTTTGAGAAACGTCACGGTCGCCCATTTCTTGATCCATTCCTTGTTGAAGGTATGATCGTGGAGTGGGAAGATAGACTCTACGTTCTTCCATTGACCATGAGTGGGAACGATCCCAGCATTTCCTTCTTCCTTTGGACCTGTGATCAGCTGGTGGACTATACGATACCGTTCAGCTTCTGTCAGCGGCTGGCTTGTCAACGAGTTCTGCGTTTCCCGATCCGGCTGGGCGGGCCTTATGCCGTAAAGCCAGTCCTTTACTCTACAGCTTCTGTTAGATGACTTATAACATTTATGATTATGGTGCGCACCTGGAGCGATAGATGGCGTTGTTGAGACGCTCATCGGAAGCCACTTTGACGAAGATCAGAAGGGAGCAATTCCCTCCGTTCCGGACCTCAATCGCGAGGCCTACCCTAGCCAGTGCCTGCAGAAGGTCCTGAAAGCTTCTTGAAGCCTCCGTCTTAGCTGTAAGGGTTGGTCTTGTCAGACAGATGCTTTCCACGGGAGGGATTACGCGACTTACTGGAATCCGCGAATCTGTAAATAATGACATAGTCAACTTTCAAGTTGTCATGCGGTATATTATGGTGTGGAGGCATGTTTGCGCTCTAGAGTCAGTCTTCTAGATTCGAAAGTCTCGAGGTCTGACTTGACTTCCTCTGACTTGACTTCCTCTTGCAAGCCAGGAACCAAACTTGGAGACTCAGACAGCGGAGCTTGGAAAGTTGGAGGAGGCTAGACGTCATCGCGCTTCGCGACAAACAAGGGTAAAGTAGTCTACTCGGAAGGGTTGGTACTTGGTCGTGATCGGAAAACCCTTTTCTCCGGGCCGAAATTCCTCCTGCAGAACCACTGCGTCTGGGTATTAGAGAGGCTACAGTCGGTACTTGATCTATAGCCTACAGCCTCTTTCCCATGGCCTCTCTACTCATACCTCCACCCTCCCCCTTCGAGCCGCCTTCTATCCCATATCGCCTGCTTAGCTCACCGCTGAGATTCTTGACTCAGACACTCTACAACCTTATTCTATTTCTGCGGGGCCCGTCTACCTCCAAGCCTCCATCTTCAAGTCAAATCCGTATTGTCTGCATTTCCGACACCCATACACACAAACCTACTTTCCTACCTCAGGGAGACGTCCTAGTGCATGCGGGTGACCTTACCAGTGACGGCACAGTTGCCGAGATTCAAGATCAGATTGATTGGATATCTTCTCTACCTTATGAGCACAAGGTCGTCATTGCTGGTAATCACGACAGTTGGTTTGATCCACGAGCAAGGCGGAAAACCGATGCTGGCAAAGCGCCACGGTGGGGTGATGTGCACTATCTCCAGCACTCCAGCGTTCAGCTCACCTTTCCCAGTCAAGCGCACCGCCAGTTGCGCTTTTATGGCGCACCACAAGTCCCCCAATGCGGTGGGGAGGATTTTGCCTTCCAGTATCATCGAAGCGACGATGCGTGGTCGTACACCATTCCACCAGATGTCGATGTCTTAATCACCCATACGCCACCAAGGCATCATCTGGATCTGCCGGCCGGATTAGGATGCGATTACTTGTCAAAGGAGGTCTGGAGAGTGAGACCCAAGGTACACATCTTTGGGCATATACACGCAAGCCACGGTCGTGTACAGGTGTTCTGGGATGATACACAGATACTGTATGAAAAGTTGTGTTCGAGGGAAGTCAAGGGCGTGGTTAGGGATATGGTGGCCATCCTAGCTTGGCTGGATATGATGAAGTT